ATATATATATATATAAATTATTATTTTCTGTATCAATGTTTTTCTTGACTATACAATGATTATATAGTCAGGCTAAAAAAAAATTGCTTTATTAATTTCTGACAAAATGGAAAGGAGAATGTATATATTTCCAAGACTCCCATGGATTTGTCAAGAAATCATTTAAGAATATACATACTGGTCGCACCTTATCATTTTATTAGTGATCATTGTTTTAGTGTTAGAAAATGTTTTACTAACCGAGTTTCTTCTCAATGATGGAATTGCTTGTGATCGGTATGCGTTGTCTGTTTATCTTGGCAAAGCCTCGTTTGTAGATCAATTCACGAACTGATTTCAAATTGGGATAACCCCATGTGATATAAGGCTCGACAATACGTAACATATTGATTGTCGCTTTATTCAATTTCACAAAGACACCATTGTTGATCTGTTTTAAACGGAATAATTGCAACACCTTTCGTACCTTAGGAGCAACTTGATTCACACTGAAAAAATTATATTACAATCATTAACTCAACAATTTGATGTGATAATGTGACTGCATCAAAAATCACATTACAATCATTATTAACATTATATCAAGTACTAACTTAATGTTAATAATGATTGTATTATCAGTACTAACTAATTGTAATGTTATTAAATCGAGTCTTTAGGAAACAAAAGGCATAATTTATAATAACATGTTGTATTAATAATAACATGTTGTATACTTACCCTCGAATACGGATAACAAATGCTAGACGAGCTTCACCAGGAATATAATAATTTCCACGGTTTTTAGCTTGTCTCATTAATCGAATTTCATCCCTTTCCTTTCGTCTATATTCTTTCACATACTCCTCAGCTTTTTTGAAAATCTGTTTTCTCTTTTTATAGCGATCTGCACGTTGCTGTGTTGCAAAATAAAAATCAGCTTGTCACATTGCTTGTCTCATCATTTCTTTTCTACATTAAAAAAAATATAGCGTTCTTATCGTGAAACGATAATGTGTCCATAATGCTAGAAAAATCACTTAAAAATTTCAGATGAAGAAAAAATTAACTAATTACATTTGTCAATAATTTAAACTATTATATATTATTAATTTTTTTCCAACATCTTGGAGCAATATCTAGTATTATAGACACAAAGCTTTAAAAAGGAATGCGCTATCAAATTGTTTACAAAATTAAAAACAAAATTACCTTAATGGAGACCTGTAAACGCGCAGCTTTCACTGCCTCACGGCGTTTTTTTCTCTTTAACACCGACTCCGGCACTGCCGGTAATTTTTTTGTTGGTGGGACAATTTCTTTCTTCCTGCATAAGACAAATACAATCATATTAAAAATACTATGAAGAATTAGAGATAGATTGTGTTAAATGGCGAAGGGATAATTACTTAATGTAATTGTAGAACAATGTCTCATTATAAAATTTATATGAAATCCTCATGTATAATCTGATAATTACAAAAATGCAATTACGAAAAATCATTGTATCAGATAAAATTTATTTTTCACAAAATGACTTCACATATATAATGAAGAATATATATATAATGAAGAAAATTATTTGTAATCAGATAAAATTGTATAAAATCATATAATTTGTAGAACAATATTTCAGCTGGTGATTACCCTCTTGTTAAATGGTACACATAGTATTTTGTTAATCACATAAATTCGCTGAAGTTAGGTAATATTGATTGGAGTATTTTTCAGCTTTCATGCAAAATACAAATGCCTAAATAGCAAAATGAGTTTTGATCAATGGAAAACAAAGTTTTTTCGGAAATGTGTAAATAATAATGACATCGCGCGATGAGGAGCAACTATGTGCTCGCAAACTTCCGATTGATAATCCCGTTTGTTATCTGTTTAAATTAAAAATATTTATTCGCTAATACGCATGCAACGTAAACAATTACTAATATAACATTTATGCATTCGCGAAAACATATTGTCGGCTGATGCAACCGGATTTTTCGAGCCATCAAAGTTACTTACGCGTCAGCCATTCTTCCATGCGATAAAGGAAAATTTAACCTCTCTTCGCCTGATAAATCACGAACTACGAGAATCAGTAAGAATCAACATGCGCTCGCAATCATGGTGGAAAAAGACATAAAGTCACTAGATTTATAAAAGCAGAGAAGGATTTAGAAAACCTGAGAGAAGACATGATGACCCAAAACCTGTAACGCAAAATGCTGCCGCGCATTACTGCCCTCTGACAAAGTGGATGTAAACTACATAGCACTTTTCTTAGGGTACATCATTCACTTTTTAAGACTGAAGGTGAAATCGTATAATCGTGCTACATGTTGCGGTTACAAGTTTGAATTAGAGTTCTATATATATGAGAGAAGCGACGTTCATCCCCCACTACATTTAGCACATATTCAGCACCGCCATATTTAGCGCACTCCAGTTGACAAGCTGACCAGTTCCTATGAAAATTACTATTTACGCCATTGTAAAAATCATGAACTCCGTCAGGATGAAATTAAGTATTAATGTTTTATGTTTTCTTGTTGAATAATATAGCGATTAAATAATGCAATTAAAAATGTTACACAAAAAGGTAAAGGGCATATTGAATATAATTAGTTTTATAATTTTATTGAAATAACGTAGTGCATTATTGCAATAACATTATTTTTGTAACATGATTATGTTTCTATTTTGCCAGAAAGTATTTCGCAAATACACAAAGATGACAAGATAATTACGTAGATCAGGTTAGTTAGTTTAATTGTCATCATTAATTATTTCATATTTCATTTGTAAATGTACATATACGTATATTTGTTATGAAATAGTCATATTTTTTACTAAGTTTTTCTGATATAGCTATTTTTCTTAATGCAAAATGGATCAATCTTTAAAAAATTCGAGAGATCAATGCAATCCAAAAATCCTCTTTGTAATACTGCAAATAATAAATCAATCATCGATCAACTGAGAAGCCAAATTGATGAAGCTTCACAAATAATCATCTGTCTGAAACAGCATGATGCAAACCTAAATAAATTAAATATGATGCTTTCTGATATTGAAAAATGAAGAATAAGATGTGATTTTATTAATCGCTTCTACGAAGCGATTAATAAAATAAATCAAATTACATGTTTATTTATAACAACAATTATATTATAATCTAACCTAACCTAATAAGTGTACAAACACTGAAATATATCTTCTTATTCTTTATACTAATATTTCGATTGAAATATAAGTTTTTTACTGGACTGTTCTAAAATTTTTTTCCTCACTGTTATCAATACTAAATATATTTATTCTCTATTTTAGGTGTGTGTATGTATCAGTTCAGTTGTAGAAAGGAAACATGAGCTCTCCACTGCGGGCACAATATGGCTGCTTTAATTAGGTGGGAGGTAACACCAATCGCGACGCCGATGTTGCTTCTCTCATATATAGGACTCTAATCGCGGAATAGTTCTCTTCTTTTCTAGTGGAATTAATTGGTCGCCACGGCAAGCTAGGAAGTGGCCGAGAACAACGAAGATAGACGTTCGAAAGTTGTGGCCTTACGATCAAGCTGATTAGCCTTCCATCTCTCACTGTAAAGGAGAGAAACAATTATGTCTGGAGTAGAGCTATCCTTCAATGTTATCTTCAGCTTCTCTTGTATGAATGCTCCGTCTATCTTAAGCCTATTCTACGGGCAGTAGCAGTAGTGAATTAAAGAGTAGGCGAAGGAATCAACTAATCAGTTGATTATCCTTCTTACATTCGACTATGATTAGTTGATTTCTACTACTCCTTAATCCACTACTATTACTGCTCATTGTAAAATGGGCTTTATAAGTCTATGATTGGACCATCATCTTTCAAGGGCTCCGCACAAGGAATAGGGAACAAAGAACAAAAATTCAACCTATCAGAAACTGTGTATTCCACAATATATGTTTTCTGTTCCTTTTATTGTGCGAAGCCCCTTACAGAATAGGGATCCAGGGCTGAAGGTCTTTAATAGTATCTTGTCGGTATCAGTAGCAACAATGAACATTGGCATCTTTGATGTAGGTGTTCTTGTCACATGATTCACTGGCATGTATGAAGTGTACATGGGAGCTTTCCATTTGATGACACAAATCGACACAAGTGTTATTTTATCTTTGTCACTCTCTGAATGCCAATAAGAATAGAACGAAGAATAGAACGCTTGTGTCAATTGTATCATCAAATGGAAAGTACCTACAGTAGAGTTATGATGGGATAGGCTCTTAAATCTGAATTTCTGTTCCTAATACGTTCGCCATATTATTAAGTGTACATATCAACACATGCACACTAAAAATTGCAGTTCAAAAAAAGTTCACTGTCGCTACTGGATGATTATACTGTGTCATAATCCTCAAAGGGGATCTGATTACAAAATATTTTATTGTAAGTGTTCATTAGAAAAGAGAAGAGGACGGCCGATAAAATCGGCGGGAATGGAGAGTCTCTAGTAATTTATTTTTGTTAAATTAAACCTTATCCTTTGTTAAATTAATGATATGTGATTGGAAAAGTGAAGCATATTCAAAGTCTACATTTACTATAATAATTATAGAAACTTTATATTATACTTACATATTAATTATAGGAAAATATTATACATATTAATTATAGTAAAAACGGGTTGAAAATTTGCATAACTTCGTAATTCCATTTTTGTGCAGACGTATCGTAAGACAAAATTCGAATTGAACTTGTTTAAATATTCATTTTAGAGTTTCTTAAAATTCAACAACTTTTATTTTTATAAAGTATAAGCGAAATTAAAATTTTCATTTAAGAACCCATTAATAAACATTATATCATTAAAAGATTTATTAAATAAAAATGTAAAGATTCTTATTATAGAAACAGAATTCGGATTTTCTTGAATTATATGTGAATTTTGTGTTATGATATACATGTATTTTGTATACGAGGTATCTTATATATATTAAGCAAAATATGTAAGCAAAAATGTTGTAAAAATGTATAATGCGTAATTTATGTATTTTATATTAAAAAGATTTAATTCAATTTTTTGCGTTATATTTTATAATATTATATTGTCTAATTACTTTGTATAATTTTTTCTTTATATTCTATATTTTGGTATCAAATAAATATATTGCATGAAAATATTAAATTTGTATGTAATACATAAAACAGTAAAATTCAGTAAAT